GACCTCTTCAAGGAGAACTACAAACCACTGCTCAATGAAATAAGAGAGGACACAAACAGATGGAAAAACATTCCATGCTCATGGTTGGGAAGAATCAATATTGTGAAAATGGCCATACTTCCCAAAGTAATTTATAGATTCAATGCTATCCCCATCAAGCTACCTATGACTCTCTTCACAGAAATGGAAAAAAACACCTGAAAATTCATATGGAACAAAAAGAGAGCCCACATAGCCAAGTCAATTCTAACCAAAAAGAACAAAGCTGGAGGCATCACGCTACCTGACTTCAAACTATACTACAAGGCTACAGTAATCAAAACAGCGTGGTACTGGTACCAAAACAGAGATATAGACCAATGGAACAGAACAGAGGCATCAGAGGCAATGTCACACAACTACAAACATCTGATCTTTGACAAACCTGATAAAAACAAGCAATGGGGAAAGGAGCCCCTGTTTAATAAATGGTGTTGGGAAAACTGGCTAGCCATGTGCAGAAAGCAGAAACCAGACCCCTTCCTGACACTTTACACTAAGGTTAACTCCAAATGGAATAAAGACTTAAACATAAGAGCTAACACCATAAAAACCCTAGAAGAAAACCTAAGCAAAACCCTTCGGGACATAGGCATAAGCAAGGACTTCATGACTAAAACACCAAAAGCATTGGCAGCAAAAGCCAAAATAGACAAATTGGATCTAATTAAACTCCACATTAGAGTGAACTGGCTACCAAGAGAATGGGAAAAAATTTTTGCAATCTACCCATTTGACAAAAGACTTATATCCAGAATTTACAAAGAACAAAAACAGATTTACAAGAAAACAAACAAAAAATCCCATTCAAAAGTGGAAAAAGGATATGAACAGACACTTTTCAAAAAAAGATGTATATGAGGCCAACAAACATATGAAAAAATGCTCATCATCATTGGTCATCAGAGAAATGCAAATCAAAACTACATTGAGATACCATCTCACACCAGTTAGAATGGCGATCATTAAAAAATCTGCAGACAACAGATGCTGGAGAGGATGTGGAGAAATAGGAACACTTTTACACTGTTGGTGGGAGTGTAAATTAGTTCAACCATTGTGGAAGACAGTGTGGCGATTCCTCAAGGATCTAGAAATAGAAATTCCATTTGACCCAGCAATCCCATTACTGGATATATATCCAAAGGATTATAAATTATTCTATTATAAAGCCATATACACATGTATGTTCATTGCAGCACTGTTTACAATAGCAAAGACTTGGTAGCAACCCAAATGCCCATCAGTTATAGACTGGACAGGGAAAATGTGGCATATATACACCACGGAATACTATGCAGCCATAAAAAACAATGAGTTCGTGTCCTTTGTAGGGACATGGATGGACCTGGAAACCATCATTCTCAGCAAACTGACACAAGAAAAGAAAATCAAACACCACATGTTCTCACTTATAGACGGATGTTGAACAATGAGAACCCATGGACACAGGGAGGGGAGCATCACACACTGAGGTCTGTTGGGGGGGACTAGAGGAGGGACAGTGGAAGATAGGGAGTTGGGGATGGATAACATGGGGAGAAATGCCAGATATAGTTGATGGGGATGGAGGCAGCAAACCACATTGCCATGTTGCAACAATCCTGCATGTTCTTCACATGTACCCCAGAACCTAAAGTGCAATTATGTCTATATATATATAAACAAAAAAAAAGTGTATGTAATCAAGTTGTTATATTATCAAGTTTTTGTTAGCTTAGGAAAAAAAACTGAGATAAATTTTTTTTTTTTTTTTTTTTTTTTTTTGAGACGGAGCTTCACTCTTGTTACCCAGGCTGGAGTGCAATGGCGCGATCTCAGCTCACCGCAACCTCCGCCTCCTGGGTTCAGGCAATTCTCCTGCCTCAACCTCCTCAGTAGCTGGGATTACAGGCACGCGCCACCATGCCCAGCTAATGTTTTGTATTTTTAGTAGAGACGGGGTTTCACCATGTTGACCAGGATGGTCTCAATCTCTTGACCTCGTGATCCACCCACCTTGGCCTCCCAAAGTGCTGGGATTACAGGCTTGAGCCACCGCGCCCGGCCAGATAAAAATTTTTAAGTTGATAATTACCTCCATGTATCTTCCTGTATATGCTTTTAAAGTCCTTGTAACATTGAATCACAGGGCTTTAACTCCTGAGTCTAAAAAGAACACCCAAGTCCTGCTAAATTTTAAACACTGACAGCAATTAAAACTTCATCTTCAGGCCCTGTAGGAGATGCCAATCAAAAAACTGCATTCCTGAGACATAGGACAAGAAATTGAAGCTATTCAACTCCTCAAGGCCCAGGGACTATCTCCAAAGAGTTGAGCATGTAAGAGTGTAAGGACTGATTTTGTAAGATAAAATGAGTTTAGTTTCTCTATAAATTAATCATTAATGTCAAAGGCACACTGATGCAAAACCAGTATATGGACCCCTGTGTCAGATTTACAAGGTTTTCTTGAAGCATTAACCAACTCCTTAATAAAGGTTATAAGAGGCTTAAGGAAGTTATATTTTATAATTGATTAAATTTTATAGATTGTAAATTTTAAAATAACAAATATAACTGGCTTCATGCTGTTTTTATTAGGGCTTCTTGTTTAGAAAATTAAGTTTCTTCTCTCAAAAAATGAAGGTTTTCACTTTCTTTGAAGTCTTTGACTTTCACTTCGGTTAAATAAATGACTTTACAATTACCTGTAATCCTATTTTGTAATATGAAGTGTTTTAAACCTTTTATAGCTGACAAACTTTCCAAAATTGAATTATAAATTAAATATTTTTCTAACCTAGTTAATTCTTTAAGATAGTAGTTTCCCCTAAGTCCAAAAATGACACAATTTAGCTTATTTGGTAAAAACATTACACAGTAGGCATTGCCAAATATGAAATGGTGTGTTGTTTCCTTTGGGTTTTATTTCTATAAATATGTATTGGTGTGTGCTCCAAAATTATGGGAAACTCCTACAATTTAATATAATTTAGTGTACTTATCAGTAATAATCATATTGTATGCCACAGAAGTAATAAATTTCCTTGTCAATTGTGTCTTTTGACTATGGCTGGCTTAAAACATTGTTCATCCATGGAAAATTGTTGCCTTGTTTTGGTCATTTTTAGAAGGTGGTTTTATAACCAGCTATAAAAACTACCCCAACAGGTTCTCTTAAATGCAGGTTTCTGATAACTTGGAAATTGTGACATTAGAATAGAGGAAAAACTTTCAGGACTCAGAGAGCAAAAATGTTAATGAGTATCAAGCAGAACAGGAATTAACAACATGGACTGACCCAATCTTTTTAACTTTTTACTTAAAATATTTGCTGATCCTTTGTTTTTTGGAGTCTTAAAACTTTTCTTTTGAGCTATTGACAGCTTTTAACAATTTAGTATACTCCTATGAACAATATTTGGAGCACATTTGTTTCTCTTTACCTGCTTTCTCCAGAATTCATAAATTGTAAGTATTCTTAACTTATGGCAATACACTTACTTGCATAAGTGCAATGAGAATCTGTTTTCATTTGTAACAGCATACAATTGGATAAATTGTTCACACTTAGGTTTTGAGTTCAGTAGGAAAAAAAAGGAGTTTTAATAAATTAGGTGATGACAATAAAAAAATAACAGTTTCACATATTTTCATATTTTTCAATGGAAAATATTGCAGTGTAAATACATTTTAACAGGCTCCAGGCACAAATATGTAAAAAGATATCCTCTATATTTTGCCCAAACTGTACTGAATTTCTATATTAAGCCTCCACTCATGGCTGAAAACAGAATAAATTCAGATAAATTCAGACTCAGTCAACTTAAGAGTTTTTTTTTTCCTTCTTTCCCTAGTCTAACATCAATATTTTATTTGGAGTAAGAGGCAGCAGGAAGAAAACATACTGGTATAGTTCTATTGTCTATCCTGGATGGAAACTATTCAAGTGCACAGCACCTTTTTGGTGTATTTTCATGCTGGTATCAGTTGAGGCTTCATGTTCACAATGGTCATGAGACCTATGCTGACATACACTACTGCATACCACAACCCTAAAATCATAAGGACACTTACTGCCTGTGGGGTTTGCTCTCACTCATTCTCAACTTCTAATCTCTTTTTTACCCCTCTTGCTCATTAGGTTGTCCAACATGGCAGCGCTGAAGATCTAAGACTGGACCCAGGCTAGGGCACCCCAAGCTCACTCTCTTGAGCAATAGAGAATAGTCTCTGCTGGCTGATGAGAATTCAGTTAACCTCTCCAGTATATGGAAACAATGCTAAAGAGTTTTAAACATGTAGATAGCCTTTAACCAACAATTTATCTTCTGATTATTCTAAGAAAATGTTGGGTACTCATGCAAAGATTCCTGTGCAAGAACATTCTATAAATAATTATTCAAGTAAAAAGTTGAAAACAGCTGAAATGCCATCAACTGGCAAGAGAATAAATGAACTGTGATGCATTCATGTAATGAATTTTTATTCAGCCATTAAAAATAATTGAGAATTATTTTGTATGTTTTTGAATAGAGAAATAGGTACACAATATGTTCAGTGATGAAAAATAGCAAATATCAGTAATTTTATTATTGAACAAAAATCTGTTTAATCTAAAGGCTCTGATGGACAAGTGGCCTAATTTTAATACAGGCCTTTGGGAACAGGTCTCTTTGTGTAAAAATAAAAGAAAGTCTGGAAAGAGATAACAGTAAATCTTATAATAAAGAATGGTGTTCTTAAAATAATTTTATTTGTTTGAATATTTTGCTATTGCATATATGATTTATATTTGATGAGAAGGAAAATTTTTTGTAGTTTGAAGTGAAAAAAATGAAGATTGACCTAGATTCTCTGGCTCTTTTGTATCATAAAATGTCATGATTTTATAAAAATAATTACTGTCTTAATCAAGCAAGAAACACTGCTGTCCTTTTCTAATAAACCAACCCTCTCAATTTCGTGGGATCCTGCAGGTTTATGGAACTGTCTTCCACATGAACCATGGAAATCCGTTTAATCTAAAGGCTCTGGTGGACAAGTGGCCTGATTTTAATACAGTGGTTGTCTGCCCTCAGGAGCAGGTAAGGTTCCATGTGTGAATATTCGTCTATATTTATATTAGCCATGTGTCTATTACATTATTAGCAATATGGTAGAACCAGGGCATGCGGAAGTAAATCATAGTGATGGTCAACAAGTCCCCATCCCCAAGAAGCTCAGAGTCTGGAATAAAAGATAGATAAACAGATAAATTAAAATTCAGTATGAAGTATGCAAGAACAGAAGATAAACAGGATACAGAGATAAGCCAACTGTAACTGGATTAAACTATGGAAGTCAAAGATGGGGCTACCAGATAAGTTTAATATACTTCTTGGTGGAGACTTCATCTGAACTGGATTTTGTCGGAAAATACGTTTCATCAGGATTACAAGGAAAAGTGGACATTCTAAACAGCAAAAATAGCGAGGGCACAGATATGAATTTGTAAAAAAGGCTATGAGTTAGAGTGACTATTGTATTAATCCATTCTCATGCACTAATAAAGACATATCAAAGATAGAGTAATTTATAAACAAAAGAGATTTAATTGACTCACAGTTCAGCATGACCCGGGAGGCCTCTGGAAACTTACAGTCCTAGCAGAAGGGGAAGCAAACACACCCTTCTTCACATAGGGGTGGGAAAAAGCATGACAGCAGAGCAAAGGGAGAAGCCCATTATAAAACCATCAGATTTCACAAATACTTACTATTACAAGAACAGGGTGGGTGAAACCACCCCCATGATTCAATCTCCATCTGGTCCCTCCCATTACAAGTGGGGATTATGGGAACTACAATTCAAGGTGAGATTTGGGTGGGGACATAGCTAAACCATATCAACTATCAAGAGAAAAATTATAATGCTAGAACTTCTATATACCTTTGAGGAAACACTTAAAAATTAGTGAAACTAAACAATTAACACATTTCAAGATAAAAATGCATAAGCTTATTTCAAAACATCAGAAAACACAAATATATTTTAATACTAATAAAGTTATTTAAAAATCACTAAACAATATATACTTAACATTTTTGTGGTGAGAACACTTAAAATCTACTCTCTTAGCAATTTTCAAAAATATAATACATTGTTATAACTATAGTCACCAAGTTGTACAATACTTCTCTTGAAATTATTTCTCCTATTTTAACTGTTATAATTGGAGTTTTGTATCTTTAACATCCCCCAATTCCTCCACTCTCCCCCTACCTTACCTGCTGATAACTACCATTCTACTCTCTACTTCTATGAGTTCAATTTTTTTACATTCTACATACAAGGGAGATCATGAGGTATCTGTCTTTCTATGTTTGGCTTATTTCACTTGGTACAATGTCCTCCAGATTCAATATATGTGAAGCAATACATATGCTAATTATCCTGATTTAGCCATTTCAAATGTATACATATTTCATTACAACATATTGTTGATAAATATACATAATTTTTTATTTGCCAATTAAAAAATAAACAATATATTAAATGAAGAAATTTATGGTAGTAAAAACTAAACTGAAATAAAATTATTTGATCTTTTAAACGTGGTCTTAACAAAATATGTCAGTGGTATCATTGCTGACTTGTGAGTGTGTTTTTTTATGCAACATTTTCCAACTTTTCAAAAAGTTTTAAAATTCTATAATAGTTGCGGTAATATTTTCATCTGCCTTCTTCCTGTAAATAATTGCATCTACTATTTACTAATTTGTGGCGTTCTTTTGGAATAAGTGGATTGTTTTTTTCTCTGGAAGTACAATTGGTTTAACCAACATATTTTTTTAAAGAAAGCATTTTGAATTGGTTTTTAATCTTCTTTGGTATCAGTATCAAGTTTCATACTGTCACGGTCATATTTTGGGTATTGTGCAAGTATTTGAACGGTAGTAAAATTTATTCTTGCAACATAAGCTTTCCCTTGTCAATTGCTTTTCTTTTCTTCCTGTTGAGGATGATGGTGGTAAGAAGAATGCTTTCCAAATGGTTATGTTTTCTATTTGAAATTTTAATGTGATATATGGATAGAGAATAGCATTGTTCCAGAATTTTCCAACACAAATTGAATAGCTGAATCTTGATCTTTATCTTATTTTTAAAATAATTTTGAAATAATTATATGCATACAAACACACATTCAGATTAAGTAAATAAATTCTAATATTTGACATAGGGTGACTATAGTTAACAGCAATGTACTGTATATTTCAAAGTAGATTGAAGGAGGACTTGAAATGTTCTCAACACATGGAAATAATAAATACTTCGGGTGATGAAAACCATGACTTGATCATTAAACATTCTATGCACATAACAAAATATTACACATACCCCATACATTTTTACAAATATAATGTATCAATAAAAAATAATTGTGATGCACCAATAAAAATACCAACATTTTATTACTTAGAAATGTCACAGTATTAAATTTTATTTAATCATAAAATATAAGGATGTGTTTCATTTCCATTTTCCTAATGATAACAGGATATAACAGATGACCTTGATCACTATACCAATAATTACCAAATCTTCTCCAAAGACCCCCAAAACTGTCAGGAATTCCTTGGATCACCAGAACTCATCAACTGGAAACAGCAGTTACAGATTCAAAGTAAGTACGAGGAATGGGATGTGTGCTGACTCACTTATGTGTCCTGAGCAAGTTTTCATATGACCTATGTCACCTTCCTCCAAGCTCCAGACTCTCAACTTGCAGTCAATTTAGTTACTGTGCTGTAACTACATCAGTAAAGGTGGACAGTGTGGGAAAATTTTACGAAGAATGGCCTTCATAAAGGGAACCATAATATGATTCCTCTGTATCAAGGATTTATGACATATTTTGCAGTTATATCCAGAACTTTTAGGGTAATTGGACACCAGAGAAGAGCCTCTCCTCTGGCTTTCTATTCCTGGCATAAAAATGAAAGCTTGCTTGGCCATAGAACACTTCCCAGGTCACCAAGAACAACTGTCATGGTTCCAACTATGCTCTCTGGAGATTCCCTAAGATGGCATTTGCCTATTACTTGCTATGTCATCTTAGCCAAGTGATTTAACCTCTCTAAGATCATGTTCCTCATATATGAAAATGAGGAAAATAATGTTACCTAAAACACAAGGCACTGAAAATATTAAATGAAAATTTGACTAGGAAGTGCTTAGTGTAATACTTAGATGTGTTAGTTACTGTTTGCTGCATAGCAAACCTAATAATTCTGTGAATCAACCATTTGGGCTGAGCTTTGCAAGGCAGTTATTCTGCTGATCTCATCTGGGTTTACTCATCTAGCTGTAGCTGATGGATAGACCATGGTTGGTTGCTCTGACATGGCCTCACTCACATGCCTGAATGACAGGCTGTCAGTTCATGCCAACTGGTGACTGTGGTGACAGCCTGATGGCAATATGTGTACCTAGCAGGCTAGCCCAGGCCTGTCTTTATGGCATTGGTTTTAATGTCATTGGTCTTAACCAGGAGCAAAAACAAAGGGAAAGTCACAGTGGGGCAGGCACTTTTAAGCTTCTCCTTGCATTAAATTTGCTCTTTCCTTTGATGAAAGAAGTCAATGTAGCCAAGGTAAGTTGCAGTGAAGGAGGGGACTAACCCAGGGAATGGATACCAGGAGATATGGGCAAATTGTGGGTTATTGCCTCATGTTATTATACTAGGAACATAGCTTAGTAGATGTTAGCTACAATTTTTTTTATCTACTTAGATTATCAAAACTAGCGATTAGGCAGCTCAGAAAATTTCATTCCCGTGCAGATACTGCTGTTAATAACACAATAGTAACTGAATCCATCCCTGAGCGTTTTTACTCAGATAAAACAGGAAAAATTACACAAATCTTCACTGTGTGACGTGGGTCACACAGTGGTAACACCAAGCCCAGAATCAAAACTTTATGATACTAAATCCCAGACACTTCTTTCTCTCACTGCAGAACTTCTCTCTAGAATGTACCTAAACCATTACATCTCTCTTTATAATACCATCTAGGTTCACAGCCTAGCCTGAATGAGGCTATACAAAATCTTGCAGCCATTAAGTCCTTCAAAGTCAAACAAACACAGTGCATTCTCTATATACCGTGTGAAACAGCCAAGGAACTGGCTCCTTTCCTGCTGGAATCAAAGAATATATCGCCCAGTGGTGTGAAAACCAAGACCATGTGAGTTTGATAAAATCCACTCTATGCCACTCATACCACTCAAGTAACCTCCCAACTTCTTTTCCTGCATTCACTCTGGCCTTCCTACAATCAATGTTGTAAAAAGAAATCAGAACTATGTTTTTTAAAAATGTAACTCAGAACATGTTTCCCTCCTGTTTAAAAGACTCTGTCATCTCCCTTCTCATCTAGAATAAATCAGACCTCTGACTACCACTTGGACCTTTCTTGCCCTTCCTGCTTTCTTCCTCCAACAACTTTGACCTTCTTCACTTTGTGCCTCTTTCATCACTAGCTCATCTATATTCCAGGACTTCACATTCATTATTTCTTCTGTCTACTCTGTCTCTCAAGACAATGGAGGTCAGAACAAATACAAACCTTTATATTAATGGATTTTGTTTTCTTCTTGGACCCTCCATAGCAACCAAGAGATGTTTAAACTCTCATCCATGGATGTTGCCCATGCTGACTTGGTGAATAAATTCTGGTATTTTGGTGGTAATGAGAGGAGCCAGAGATTCATTGAGCGCTGCATTCAGACCTTTCCCAGCTTCTGTATCCTGGGGCCTCAGGGTACCCCTGTGTGCTGGGCTCTAATGGACCAGACTGGAGAGATGAGAATGGCAGGAACTTTGCCTGAATACCGGGACCAGGGCCTTGTGACTTATATCCTCAATTACCAGTCCCAGGAATTGGGCAAACTTGGCTTTCCAATCTATTCTCATGTAGACTACAGAAATGAAGCTATGCAAAGAGTAAGTTACAACCTGCGACATATTCCCATTCCCAGAGGCTGGAACCAGTGGAACTGTGTGTCTCTGTGATGGCAGCCCTGAACATAAGACAGTGTTGGGCAGGCCTGGGCATACAACTGGAGGAATGAATAGTGGATGAAAAGAAAGAACATATTGTAATCAGCAGAAAAGGAATGTGCACTGTTTGGGCTCTGGGGAAGCACTGTGATGGTCTACAGAATACCATGGTCCCTGCACTCACAGGTTCTCAGTAGGAAGCAGGCCCAGATCCTCTTACATTTGACCTGTGTAATGTAGCTCCCCACACTTCTAGGGCCTCTATGACACTTCATCTTATACAAATTGCTCCAAATTACTTCTCCTGGAATCCCTAGTTCCTCAGTTGCAAGACCCTTGCCAGTTTTTCTGGGAGCTAGGAAGATGTGAATAATATTTTCTGAGTATGATGACTCACTTCTTTACATTTCTAAATCCTTCCCCTTATGATCAACAGGTGGATTCTCCTCAATAGTCTTTAGAGATTATCCTCTCCTGTTACTGATACTTTATAGGTACATTAAATATACTAGACACAAATATATATGGGATATTAGGCTAAATACAGTATATATGATGTAGCAGGGAATGTTATTAGAAGAAATACCAACTGATGATATCGTATCCTACAACAGCTCCTACTCCAGGAAAAAAGATCCAGTGTTGTTTCTAAGGATGAGCTTCCAAAATCCACCACAACTCCTAAACAATAAAGTTTTGTGTTTTATTGTATACAATTTTGATTGTGTTTGCTCAAGTTAAGTGGTTCATCATGGTGACAGCATAAAAGGAATGAGTGTATGAAAATGGGAAGGTGGAAGCACCTTGACCCAGGGATGTGAACATTTATTGAGGAGAGATAGGAGTTGAAGACAGAAGAGACAGCATGAATACCTGCTTGTCCAGTTATCCTCAGCACATTACTCATCTTCGTTTGTTCCTGCTATAACAAAATACCTGAGACTGGGTAATTTATAAATAACAATGTCTGAACTTAATTATTTATTTAAAATAATTATAAAATAATTAAAAATTTATTTATCACAGTCTGGAGGCTAGAAGTCTAAAACCAAAGTGCCAGCAGATTTGATGTCTGGTGAGAATTCAGTCCCTGCTTGCAAGGTGGTACCTATTGCTGTGTTCTTTGTAGGGGATGAACACTGTGTCCTCATAAGGCAGAAAGACAGAAGAGCAAAAAGGGGACCAGCGAATTTCCTCCAGTCCTTTTTCTTTCAGGAACTAATCCCATCCATGAGGGTAGAGTTCTCATGACTTAATTACCTCCTAAAGACTCTATCTCTTAATACTGTTGCATTGATGATTAAGTTTCAACATGAATTTTGGAGGAGACACAAACGTTCCAATTATAGCATTACTTCAGAGTGCCTGAATTCCATAAAGTTTAGATGATAGTCTCATACAAGGATCGGTTGGTGGGGAACAGGAGAGATAATCTTTCAGGTTGCAACAGATTAGGACTATTCCCTTTTTTTTTTTTTTTTTTTAACTGTGCTGCTTTCAGTTACCTTGGACTCCTTAGAACCCAAAGGCACCAGCAGCAAAGGCCAGGAAACAGAAAACATGGCAGCCCGTCCCTCCCTTTGGGAGCTTCGTCTCAAGAAGGTACAGAGCTGGTGTTGGCCTCAGATCACTGGTGGTAGGCAGCTGGAATCCCAGACCAGTGAGTCTTATCCTGCAGCTAAGCTGTAGCTGCTCAGCTCCCTGAACTCAGCCTCTTTCCTGGGGGCATGTAAAAAAGGCTAATTTCCTCCTTTGCTGGAGCTTCAGCCCCTACTGCCTGGCTGTCCAGGGACCCAAGGCTCCCTTGACTCTGCAGGAATGTCTGAGCAGCAGCTTTGTGAAGACTCCATATAGCTCGGCATGTCAGACTGAAGGCCCTGGTAGAAGAGATTCATTAGGGGATCTCCTGGCCCCAGGGCTGCCAAGGTCTAGGAAAAAGTGTGGGTCCCTAGAATTTTCTACTCACCATTTCCCTAGGAGAGGGAGTTTCCCCTGGCTCTGTGTCACTCCTGGGTGGGCAGTTGTCCTGTCTTGCTCCTCTCTGTTCTCCATGGGTCATGTTGTGTCTTTGATGAATCCCAATGAGGCAGGAGAATAGGGTCTGGAGGCAGGAAACATAAGGCTGATTCATGGTGACTTCCTAAAGCTAAATCAAAGGGAGACACTTCAGCTGACTTTGTAACTTAAGTTCATTTTTCTCATTTACATAGGGCATACACCAAGAAGCCAATGGAAACCTCTAAAGGGTATTTAAACCCCAGAAAATTCTGTAATGAGACCCTTGAGCCCCTATACTAGGGGCTGCTCCCACCCTGTAAAGCATACTTTCGTTTTCAGTTAATCTCTGCTTTTGTTGCTTCATTCTTTCCTTCCTTTCTTTGTGCATTTTGTCCAATTCTTTGTTCAAGATGCCAATAACTTGGAAACTCTCCACCAGTAACACCAATGAATGCTTTGTGCCATTGTTTTTTAAATAAGACAGGAGAAAAAAAGAGTTTAAAACAAACACATTTTATTTGTATTGCTTTTTATATTTTATATTTATCTATATAGTACTTACCTTGGGAACAAATCATAGAAAGCCTTGAAAGTCACATCAAGGATATCAGATTATTTCCTAAAGCTAATGGGAGGCTATGGAAAGTCATTATGGAAGGTGTATTAATCAGGATAGTCTGTGTTATCCTGCAGTAACAACCCCAAAATCTCAGTGTCTTAAAATGACAATGATGATTTCTCGCTTACATTTAATGGCCTTTGCAGTTCAGATAGAGACTCTATTCCATGTCTCCCAATTCTGGGAGTGTTTCAAATATAGCTTGACACCATGGCAAAGGGGAAAACTAAGAGCAGGTGAATTGTGCACTGATTCTGAAGGGTTCTACCCAAAAATGAGACACATTATTTCTGCATACATTTCATAGGCCAAAGCAAGGCATATGGTCATACTTAAGTTCAAAGGATGCAGGAAAGGAAAGTGGAATCCTATTGCAATAACCTATATTTTGCTATCCTAACTGACTCTCTCTTTCTTAGCTGAGAGAAGTACAGACTCCATGTTAGCTTCTTGAGCTGGACAGAGTTCATTTAGCTTCTTCACTTCTCCCCCTTTCTCCCCCTTCCCCTGAGCACATAGCTAGGGTAAGCTAACACCAAGCAGACCCAGGAATGTCCTTACTAATAAGATACTGAGTTAAGCTGTAACCAGCCACCCCTTGGAATGTGACTGCTGATAACCAAAAGCTTTACAACTGTTTGCCTTCCTGTAATAGTTTATCCTTTTGATTTTTTTTACTTGTTCTGTTTCTGTAAAATCTGTTTTAGCTAGGCTCCCCGTCCCCTCCTTTAAGCAAGGTATAAAGACACAAAGCCCCTTCTTTGGGGACGAGAGAATTTTGAGCATTAGCCATCTCTTGGTCACTGGCAAATAAAGGAATCTTCATTTGAAACTCAGAGTGTGGCGCTTTCTCTAACTTGCTCAGGTACAACACTATCATACGCATAGAAAGAGAAATTGATTTATTTGTTGGAAATATTTGGCGTCTACCGAAGTCTGCTTTTGTGATCACCAAACATAGGCTCATGCTCTTGCCTGCATGTGAAACAACCTATACCTCTCCCAAAAAGCAATAGCTCAAAAACAACACGTGACCAAAACTGCCTGTGATGGGGAGTTTTATGTGTAAACTTGGCTAAACTGTAGTGACTAGTTATTTAGTCAAACACTAACTCAGGTGTTGTCATGAAGGTGCTTTGTAGATGTGGTTGACATCTACAAAAATCAGTTGTAGATGCCATCAACATCTACCTTTGATAATGTGGGTGGGATCTCATCCAATCAGTTGAAGAGCAAAAACTCTGAGACTTCCTGGAAAATAAGAAATTCTGCCTCAAAACTGCAGCTTTAACTCCTCTCTGGCTCTAACTTGCTGCTGACCTGCCTTAATGTTTTATACATGATGGTCCCCAATTATATAATCTAATTTCTCACAATTTGTATATATTTTTACATGTAATTTATTTTATATTTACATATGAATTATATATATGTGTGTGTGTATATGTATATACATACACACACACACACACACACACACACACACACACATATATATATACACACACACATATATATCTTATTGGTTCTGTTTCTCTGGGAAACCATGACTGATATACTGCCTAAAGAGTGCCTGGAATTCTCTTCAAGTCTAGATATGCATTCAGATATACATCTAAAAGATACCTGCATTAGTATGTTTATACAGTACTATTTACAAAGTAAAGACATATAATCAACCTAAGTGTCCATCAGTGGAGGACTGAATAAAGAAAATGTGGTATATATACAAAAAGGAATATTACTCAGCCATAAAAAATGAAATGTTTTTTGCAGCAACATGGATTAAACTGGAAGCTATTATCCTAAATGAAAATAATTCAGAAACAGAAAGTCAAATAGCACATATTCTCACTTGTAAGTGGGAGCTAAACAATGGGTATACATGGACACACAGAGTGGACTAATACACATTGGTGACCACAAAAGGTGGGAAGGTGGTCGGGATATAAGATTTAAAAATTATCTACTGGGTACAATGTTCACTATTTGGATGATGGATACACTAAAAGCCCAGATTCCACTACACAATACGAGTATGTAAGAAATCTGGCTTGTTCTCCCTAAATCTATACAAAGTTAAAAAGTTAGAAATAAATAGAATATAAAGCTAATGTAGAAAAGAAGTGTGGATATGGCATCCCTTGTTCTTACCACGAGCAAAAAAAACCAGAAGTTATTTGTTCCCAGAAAACTGCTATATAATGGAGGGGGGAAAAAAACCACATACAATAACAATGTCTAATTAAAAGGGGAGAAAATTGAGAAAAGAAAAAAAAGTAACATTATTGGGAACAAAAAAAAAAAAAGAAAAATTTCCTGCCCACATGAAAATAATTACAAAAATTGGAAGTGCTAGGTCTCTAGATAAGAAGGAGCAAGTGCAAGAATTCTGGCACCATAAAAAAATCTTAATTAGTGACACCACCAAAGGATCACACTTGTGCTCCAGCAATCATCCCTAACTAAAGTGAAACTCAGATATGACAGATAAAAAATTCAAAGCACAGGTTGCAAGGAAGTTCAACAAGATCCAAGACAAAGTTGAAATCAACATGAAGAAATTTCTAATGAATTCAGGAAATGAAAAAAGAGATAAACATTTACAAAGAAATCAATCAGACCTTTTGGAATTGGAAAATTAACTTAAGAAATTTCAAGATACTAGCACTGAAATCTTTGATGTGATCAGTTAAAAAAAAAAAAAAAGAAATTTCAAGATACAATTGAAAGCTTTATCAATAGACTGACCTAAGCAGAAGAAAGAATTTCAGTCTAAACATTGGTGTTTTCAACTAATGCAGTCGGACAAAAATAATTTTTAAATGCACAAAGTATTCAAGAAATATGGAATTCAGCATGGGCAACAAACAGACCCTGCCTCTACAAAAAATAAAAGTAAAAATTAGCTGGGTGTGGTGGTGTGTGCCTGTGGTCTCAGCTACTCAGGAGGATAAGCAAGAGGATTAAGACGAAGAGGTTGAGACTGCAATGAGCCATGCTTGCATACTGCACTCCAGCCTGGGCAACAGCCTGTCTCAAGTTAAACAAAAAAAGAAAAGAAAAGAAAAGAAATATGGGATTATGTAAAGTGAACAAATGAATGAATTATTGACATTTCTAAGACAGAAGGTGAATAAATGGAAAAACGTGGAAAGCATATTTGAGAGAAAAATTCAAGATTTCTCTATTCTTGGTAGAGGTAGACCTCTGGATAGAAGAAATCCAGAGAACACCTTGGAGATACTACACAAAATGAACATTATCAAGGTGTATAGTCCCTAGACTGTCCAAGGTTAATGCTAAAAAAAAAAAATTTAAGGTTGCTAGAGAAAAAGGTCAAATCACATACAAAGGGTACCTAATCAGGCTAATAGTGGACTTCTATTGGGTGTCTATTTTCAGCATTGCTAAAGAAAAGAAATTTCAGCCAAGAGTTTTCAGATCCTGCCAAACTAAGCCACATAAACTAAGGAAAAATAATTTTTTTCCAGGCAAGCAAACATTAGGGGTCCAAAGAATATAGGGCCCAACTAAATAGAGGATTCTACCAGACAAAGTTGCAGCATTAAGAAAGTTTGTTACCACTAGACCAGCCTTATAAGAGATCCTTAAGAGAGTTGTAACACAGAAATGAAAAAGCAATTACCTGCTACCACAGAAAACACTTAAGTACATAGCCCACAGATCCTATAAAGCAACCATAGAATCCAAACTACAAAGTAACCGGCTTACAATTTCATGATATGATCAAAACTTCATATATCAAAATTAATACTGAATGTCAATGGTCTAAACTCCCCACTTAAAAAAGTACACTGTCACAGTTGAATTAAAAAAAAAAAAAAAAAGACCCATCCATCTGCTGCCTTGAAGAAACCAATAGAAAGATATGATGTCAAATAAGGGCCTGAGAGAACAACTTCATAGATGGGTGTGTTAAGTCCTGTTAAGTCATTGAGATTTGAAATACAAATGAAATACTTAGCGTTCCTCATAGATTGAGTGATTCTGATAAGTGCTGTGAAGAAAAATAAGGCAAGGAGAGCTAAAAGGTATAAAGAGGAGAGGCTGGGCCATTTAAAATTAAATTATTGGAAGTCCTCTCTGAGAAGATGACATTAGAGGCAAGTCCTTAAGGAGATCACTGTGTGGGCATTTGGGAAAGAGTGTGCCATTTGGGAAAGGCAAAGGAAGGACTGCAAAGACCCTAAGGTGGGAGCCTGTCTGGGGTGTTGAAAGCAGAGCAAGCAGCAAGGAGGCTGGTGTGGGAAAGAGGAGAGTTGCGGGAGATAAGGGCAGAGAGATACAAGGGGTAAGCATATGTATGGTCTTGTGGGCCATGGTGAGGACTGTGGCTTCTATTCTAAGCAGGGCTTTGAGCAAGAGACAGACATCCATGACCGAGGGGCTGTATTGAGATGAGACTGTGGAAAGGCAAAGGTGGAAGCAAGGAGGCAGTGGAGGGTTGGACCAGGGTGGGAATGGTGGAAATGTTGAGAAGTGGTAGGACACTTTAAAGGTAGAGCCAAAAGGACTTGCTGATGGATTGAATGTGGGGTGTGGGGGCCATGAAAATTCACACCTCCCTTCTGTCAGCAGTATAACTGACCAGTAACCGTAGTAGCTGGCTCTGAAATCCACCCTTCCTTAGTTCTGATTTCTTGCTTTTCACGTGTTTCTCCTACCTGTAACAGCACAGCAGGAAGACAGGGGACTCTTCTGATGGGGCAATTTTCACCCAAGAATCCCCATGGTACTAAGACCTCCTCTTTCTCTCTCTCTCTCCATGAGGGAGACTTAAATTAGATTGCAGACTGATAGCTCTCTCAGCCTCCCCCAGCTCCATTCCTTTTTGCCTCACCTAATAAATCTCTTTTACATCTAATCCAGTCCAGGAGTCTCAGAAGACCTGGACTAAGGGAGAGAAAGTAGTTCAAGAATGACAAGGTTTAGGAAATTGGAGTGATGGAGATGCCATTTCCTGAATGCATGCATGCGTGAATAACGCCTCCATATCCCCATAGGTCTCCTGGCACTGGTTTGCTGGATAATTTGAATTTGTATTACCTAGATGGCTTTGGAGAAAGCCCTTGCCAACGCTCAGGACACAGTGTGCCTGGATATCCCAGGGCAGTCCCTTGCTGTGGACTTTGCGGACTCCGCTCCGCCAGCAGAGGGCAGCAGAGGCAGCCAAGGCTGCAGAACCAGCCTGAGAACGCTGAAAGATGACAGGTGCCTCCCAGTCTAAGTTGTTGAGAATCCAAGTGACTTTAGCCTGATGCATAGTAAGTATTCGCAAAGACTGTGGGAATCACGGATGATGGAAAAGAGAAGACTTTATTTTCAGAAGGAAAACCAATCCTCGGATCCAGGAGAGGCTGCCCTAGGGAGAGGGAAAGTGCACGTTGCGCAGAACGGCGGGTAGCTGCTATTTGATACCTGGATCTCACAGAGTCAGCCTTACATACGTATTAGCAGGGTGAGGAAAAAATGCAAATATGCATGAGGAAAGTCAAACGCTTGCACAGCAGAAAACATATATGGAACATACACCCATATTCACTTTTTGGTAGGATTTAGCATTAAAATGAAGTGAAATTTGGCTCATTACATCAAAAGGGGAACTATAGCACATGGAGACCATTTTTGCAGTGTCCACAGGCTGACTGAAACTGGCTTAAGGTCTACAGCTATTGACCGATAAGGAATGTTTCTAAGCCCCGTCCTCTGTCCAGTCTGAGTTGTGGCAGGACAGCAAGGCAGGGGACGAGGGGCAGGGGAGGGTATTGTAGTGCTGTAGGACTTTCTCCTTAGTTCAGCTAAAAGCCGGGTTCTTGTCACACAACCATGAAAAATTAGGCTTGCGGACGCTCTGAAGGGTGAGAAGGACAGGGTTTACTGGGTGAAAAGAATAAAAAGGGAAAGAGGGACTCTCAGCAAAGCGAGAGTCCTGCAAGCGGGCTTCCTACCTCACAGACCGAATCACCAGATTACCACCGCGAACTGGAGAGGCCAGGCTCCTCCCCACTGCAAAACGGCAGGAACTTCCCCAAGGCTCCACCCCAGTGCGCGCTCCTCCCGGTGCGCAGGCAGGTCGGAGATGCTGCCAGGGAGCCCTTTTTACCGGGCTGTCTCAACAGGCTGGAAACCGGCAGGCTGTCAGTGTCAGATGGGAAGTTTTCCAGCTGTAGTTATTTGGCAATGCTTTTCAGGAGCTAGTTTCTGCTTAATTATAGGAAGGAAACCTATGACAATTAATAACACCGGATGTGTTGCAGATCCCTCTTCCTGCTAGCTATGAAATTGTTTTTTTGAGTTTATCTCATTTTAGCCACAGGGAGTCCATTTCATCGTCTGTTGGGGTATATTTTAACATATCTAAATAAGTGTTGCTTTTTATTATAACTCAACAACTGGGAAACTGTGACCTCAGGACATTGTGGCTAGAACAGTTGTGAATGAGAGAATGACAAGTGGGAGGTCCAACCTGTCCAAGGAAGAGTTCTCAAAGTAGGCATTGCAACAAAAACCAAGTTCATTTTTTTTTAGACGGAGTCTTTTCTGTCACCCAGGCTTGAGTGCAGTGGCATAATCTCGGCTCACTTCAACCTCTGCCTCCTGGGTTCATGCAATTCTTCTGCCTCAGCCTCCTAAGTAGCTGGGATTACAGGTGTGCACCATCACGCCCAGCTAATTTTTGTATTTTTAATAGACAGGGTTTTGCCATCTTGCCCAGACTGGTCTTGAACTCCTGACCTCAGGTGATCCACCTGCCTCGGCCTCCCAAAGTGCTGGGACAAGTGCATTCTTTAAAAGTGACTTCCTTGTTCCACGGTCATCTCTAATTGTAATAGATTTAAATGTTAAGTCTCCACCTCAAGGTGAACATGGGACACGTGTATCATGCATGTTTTCTCATCATGCATACATGCAACCCCCTTTGCAAGGATTGCAAACACACAAGGAACAATAACGAGGTTTTGATACTAAATTACTCAGGTGGGGAGTGGAAAGTGCCTGAAAATTATAATTTGGGGTCACCATCCCCATCTTGTGTCTACTAAGGTTTCTGGTACATACTAAGCACTCAATATTTATTAAATGAAGAAATGAATGAGTCAAAATGCAGTAAAAAGTAGGATTCTTTTAATTTCATGAATTTTAAAAATTATTCTATAAAATTTATATATTTTGCAGATACAACACTTAATATTTATCTAGGGAATGTGGGAACTTTCTGTAATATGCATGTTATGATAAACATTTTCTGGCCAGGCGTGGTGGCTCATGCCCATAATCCCAGCACTGTGGGAGGCTGAGGTGGGTGGATCACTTGAGGTCAGGAGTTTGAGACCAGTCTGGCCAATATGGTGAAACCCTGTCTCTGCTAAAAATACTAAAATTAGCTGGGCATAGTGGCACACGCCTGTAATCCCAGCTACTTAGGAGGTAGAGGTTGCAGTGAGCCAAGATTGTGCCACTGCACTCCAGCCTGCGCAACAGAGCTATACTCCATCTAGAAAAATAAATAAATAAAATAAATTATGTAATTAAAAAAACCTTAGAAACCAAAGCTAAATGAAAATCATGCAATTATGGAAAAGCAAAATAAAACTACAATGCAATTACCTTATTTCTCTCTTTTTAGATTGGTAAGGTGTAAATACGTTTGACGGCATCTGCTGTTAAGAAGAGTATGGAGAAATGGGCACTCCTCTAGGTTATTGTCAGGAGTGCACATTTGCACAGCCTTGAGGGCAGGTGCTTTTAGAAGCCCTGTTTTGATGGGGAGAACTTTTGCTGAAGAGAAATGAAGCTTTTTATACCAGAGAGGGACATTTCATCTGTGTCCACAAACTGCCAGGGCATTCATTTAAATTCAAGGATTCTCTAAAGATGAAGAGAAGAAAAAATCATATCTTTATTTTTATTAACTTCCAACCATAATTTAGGATTTTCTTCAATTATAATTGTACGTACCGAACCACAGGAGAGTTCCACTATCTCTGACTTTATCAAGGATGGTAATGAGATAATTTCATATCTGATTATAGCTGAAAATAACTGAACTGTCACTTTTATAATATTTAAAGTATTTAATTTATGATTACATAATGTACTCATTCAGTGTGAGACTTTGCAGCTAGATATAATGTAATGAATTTAAAATAGTCAGATAACTGTATGTCAATATAATTTTATTTCCTTCATAATCCTTGTGTTTTATTCATTTAATAATTCATGACTTATTTAATAATAATTCCCTGAGAATGGGATAATAGGCTTCACCAGACTGTCAAGGGGTCCACTGTACAAAAGTGTTTAAAAGTTATGCTTTAAATGAAGAGGGGCTCAGTAGACTGCTGATGACCAGGTTTTAATTATACAGAGAAAGTCTAAGGAAGGGAAAATCTTAGCAATAGCAGGAGGTGAAGAGAAGAAAACCCAATTCAATCTCCCACTAGATCATTCTGTTTTTTAAGTAATTTGGAAGTCAAATTTTGTTTTCAATTTAATTAACACTGTTAGTTTAAAAATCACAAATTTAGAAACTTAGAAATGAGAGCTTGATTTCTTAATGGGATTTACAACCTGCAGGCAGGGAGCACAGCCTCTGGTTGAAATACCAAAAGCAAACACTTCCAGGAAGAGAGAAGTAAGATAGGAATCAGTGCTGATGGGGTTGGCCAAGTATACATATTCAACAGGATACAGGAGGAGCTGTGAATATTAATGATAGTGGAGTTGCAAGCATACAAGATAAACAAACACGTGTGATACATGCATCCCATGTTCACCTTGGGGTGGAGACTTAACATTTAAATCTATTACAATTAGGTCTTATTGGTGAGAAGGTGAAGCAGGGACAGGAAGGTGCTAAAATGCACAGCCTCTGCAAAACCAGCCAGAGCCAGTCTATAGGGTCAGTTGTGTCTTATCAGGAAAAGGTTACAGAACTTGTTCAATCGAAGCTGTAGCTATGCAGGGTCAGTTTGTTGGCTTCTGACAGGGAAAGCTACAATTGTTTCAATATTGCTTATCTTGAGGCCAGTGCTTGTTCAGCTGCTAGAGAAAAAGAAAAAGTTTGTGACAGTTAGAACATAGTTTTTTGGCTTTGTTTTTGTTTTTTGAGACGGAATCTTACTTTATTGCTCAGGCTGAGGTGCAGTGGCGCGTTCTCGGCTCACTGCAACCTCCACCTCCCTGGGTTCAAGCGATTCTCCTGCCTCAGCCTCCAAGTAGCTGAGGTTACAGGCGCCTGCCACCAAGCCCAGCTAATTTTTGTATTTTTAGTAGAAATGAGGTTTTCCTATGTTTGCCAGGCTGGTGTTGAACTCCTGACCTCAGGTGATCCACCTGCCTCAGCCTCCCAAAGTGCTGGGATTGCAGGCATGAGCCACCGTGCCCGGCCCATAGTATATTCTTTAAGTGAAGGGGTGCCTGACTTAACCTTTGGATGGTATGTCCTTAGATCCTGTATATCATTTTGTATCTTACTGCCACAAAGAGTTTATCAGTCTTATGATCTTCTATTTTAACATAAATGTTGATAGTTATTGAGTCTAAGCCAGAAAAAGGAAGGGGTAGAATGAGGTGTGTCTGGCCTCTCATCCTCGTCATGGCCAGGTATCAGTTTTTAAGGTTTCTCTTGGGTTTCATTGCGAAGAAGTAGTCCACCCAATTAGGTGGGGAGCTTGGTATTTTATTTTTTATTCTCAGCACTCATTGCTAATTTTTCAACAATATGCTTATGGCTGTGTTTCTCTAATTATCAAAATAAAAATAGTATCTATTGATACTCCCACATGTAAAATAACAAACCCAGTGAAGTTTAGACCAACTTAATGTCAATTATTTTTTCCAATAACTGAAGTATGAGATTTTGAACCCGGTTTATTACTGGAATTTTACATATCATTTTACTCAAGAATTACTTTTTGTCTTTCATTCTATTTTATCATATTTGAAACACTAAATTAGGCTTTATTCTCTATTTTATTGGTTTTAGTATTTATCTCTTTAATAGAGTTGACCAGTTCTTGATTTCTTTATTTTGATTCACTTCTCATTACACTGAAACATAACATCACTCAATTTTCCAATTAGGGTGCCCAAGTAATACAATTCCTGAATGTATACACCTGTAGGAAAGTCTTCGCACAGACATCACACAGGAACAGCAGCTTGGCTGATTGCAATATTTTATATTGCATCCTTTTGAGGCAGGAGAATAGGATCTGGAGGCAAGGAACCTAAGGCTGACTTCCTAGAGCTAAATTGAAAGGAAAATCCTAACTCTCCACACCTAAGTAATAAAAGGACCAGAGGCTACTCCCTTTGCAAACCCTCACCTTTTCTGCCCTGCAGATGGGAAATTGAAAGTACCTCTGATTGGTTGCAAAAAGCAATTTGCAACCAATCAGACATTTGCATGGGAATGTAACTTTGTAACAACTGCACCTTCTGATTGGTTGCAGGCTTTTTCTGTATAGAAGTGCAACTTTGTAACTTCACTTTAGCCTCTGATTGGTTGCTTTTTGCAACCAATCCAATGTTTGCATACGAGTGTGATCTTTGTAAATTTACTTCAGCGTCTGATTGGTTGCTTTTCACAATGAATCAGACTAATTCCTGGCTACCACTTTATTTACATGAGGTGAGCACCAAGTGGCCAATGGGAGACCTCTAGGGGGTATTTGGACCCAGGAAGATTCTGTATCGGGGCATTGAGCCGCTCCTTGCACCTGCTCCCACACTGTGGATTTTTATTTTCAATAAATCCATGCTTTCGTTTTCATTGCTTCATTCTTTCCTTACTTTGCCGTGCACTTTTTTCAATTCTTTGTTCAAAACATCAAGAATCTGGACAACTTGCAATCAAGAACCTCTGTCGGTAACACTTTCCCCCCTCAAAATTTTGCTGATAGCTTCCTTCACTTCTAACGGTGCCATGGAAGAGACATCCAAAGAAGCTTGATGCTTTTGCCCCTTTGCACCTAATCTGCCTGGATACTTTGAGAATAGTTTTATTCTTAAAACTCAAAATGTCCAGTGGTAAATAAAGAGATGTCAGTCACTTTTGTTAACGTTGCCAGTTATACAGAAGTGTGTCTCCGCTTGCACACATGTATCCTTCCGTCAATCTTCTTTCAAAGCATCAGTTATTAAATTAAATATCTGTTCTCAGTCTACTAAATCTGTCTTTTTATGCTTCACACACATTCTTCAGACATAAGTTTCAGTTTGTTTAAAAAATGTT